CTTCGGACACATACAATAGGCAACCTGGCAGTGCAATTGATGTCCGCATCTATTCTATAAATAACACAAATACTGGTCCTCGTCCACGCGTAGATGCACACGTCGATGCTACTAGTACGTACTGCGGCAGACCCGTTCGTCATTGCTGTGGAGGCTAAACAGAGCTTTGGAAGTTGGGGCTAGTGTTAAACACCAAACCTGCTGCCATGGAGCTTAGTACTAAAAATGGGTTGTGCTGCAAACTCCAAAGCCAAAATGGCAGTGTTGTGGCCCCAACTGGATCATGCTTCAACCTTGCGGGATAGAGGAACCGTAGGACGTAATAATGACTGGATTGCAAGCACATAGCAGGTAGTTTGATTAGATTTGCTCGCCTCTATGCTGCCCCTTGCCCCGGCTGAAACACTCTTCACACGCGAGCAAAACTCTGGTGGTGGATAGAGACACAAACGGTCGCGAGGTTGCATTCGGCTGGTGCAATTGGCCCCTCTCGTCCACAGGCTATCCCAATGAAGACAGGCCCCCAATCTATTAATCTGGATTCAACACGAGAACTCGGAAAGGAGACGCCAATTAGAACCCCTTGGCCACTGTAACCAGCAGCCCCCGCTGTGGACGCTCCTTACCGTTGAGTGGATGCTGGCGAAATGAGCGTGGATGCGACAGACAGATGCACCCCAGACAGTGGCTGTGGGTTGCCAATGATTTGCGGCAGGACCCTGCTGTGTATGTGCGTGGGTCACTGCCGCCGCACTGACTGCAATCGGGACCTCCGTGGGCGGAACCTGTGACCATGAATCTGCCCCAAGTGTGTGGCAAATTGGGGCTCTCCTGCGTCAGCAGTACCTGGCCTGCCCGTACCGCGACGTCTCCCTGCACTGGGTCGGTACCTCCAGCCAGCGAGGCAGAGGTACTCCCTCCTCTGTGCTAGCCGACGGGAAGAAGACACTTCGGCGGGGTGTCAAGGGGCGAGGATCCATTTCATCAGTGATGGATGCTACGTACCAGAACGCTAAGCACTGACCTAGCATTAAACAACCAAACATTGGGCCGGCCACTGAACGAAGGCGCTGCCACGTCCGCTCCCGCTTGTTTGGCAACCCCCCCCCAGGCTGTGGATGAAATGCTATCTGTACAACGCACTTCCACGGCACTCACCTGCTGCTCCTTTCATTCACCGATCACTCTCCAACAACACCAGGGTGCCATTCCCTGGGGTCTCGACTCTCCTCACTCTACATCTCTCCTTTGTCAAGGCCCTAGACCTCTCGCGACACTGAACAAGCTCGTTCCGCTAGCTCCTCGTTGATCAATCTGCACACACCAAGCGGGACCTTCTTCAGCTGCAACACTCGCATCATACCCTTGGAGCCAAACTTGCGCTTTCGCATCGCAGTCATTCGTTCCGAGTCCATTTTCTTGATATTTCCTTCTCAACAAGTGTATATGCTTCCCGGTCAATTTTATTTCTCGTCGACTGCGCAATTTGGGCTGCATTAATTTCCTACCACTCGACAAGCACACAGACCTTCCGAATCGGCCAGTAGCCCCATGCGCTCGTCCTCTCCTTCTACGACACACACTTCAGTGTAGCTGCTCCCCCCTTCGCTCGACTACACATACCTCGTTCAACTAGACGGTCTTTTATCCCGGCGCATCTTGTTTTCTCTTGCCGCCTCGGATCATCATATCGCTGTCCAGCCAATGCATCTTTCCCGAATGACCATTCTTGGTGTCGGAGAACAACATATCCTGGCCATCATCTTCTGAGCTAGGGTTGACCTTAATCTTTGGTGAAGTTGACTGGTCGGGCCCATTGAATACTTTGCGACTGCAACGGATTCGCTCTTTCCGACTGTCTCAACCCTCGACGAGGACTCGAATTCGGTTCATTTCATTTTCGCCAAGGGCAGGAGAGGTTCTATTCAACAGTTGACCCAGGGCCACCTGAACCGCTGCTCACCATGTCGAAACGACCGAATATCCTGGACCTGAGGTTAAACTCCTCTCAGTCAGTCAACTCCGCCTCTTCGCGAGCCTTGCGATCGCCGCGCATGCATGTAGCGGGGGAAGCACCCCCTGAGCTGTCCCCCCTCGATGCCTTTGCTTTGCAGAGTCGCCTGTTGGCGAAGCAACTCCAGGAGGGCTCTAGGGAAAGGAGGATGAGCCGGTTACCTCCATTGACCGTAGAAAGCCCGCTCATCGTCCAGGGTCGTTCCGACTACTTTCGATCCATGTCCCAGGAGGAAGAGGAGGAGGAAGAAAGAAGAATGCAGTTTGGACAGCCAAGCCCTGGCCTGGGCTTGAGAACAGAGTGTGAGGAGTCATTTGATGAACACGATAGGCCAATGTCGATGCACCCAAGAATGAGTCGAATTCCGTCAGTTTCTGAAGAGTCGTCGAAACCAGCGATTCCACCTCGCGACCCAGGCCGTGGTCGGTTAAGGCTTATTGAGGAGGACTCTACATTCTTTGGTGGAAGGACTGAACGTTCCCCATCCCCATTTACAGAGACGCGATCGCAGCCCGAGAAGAGAACGGGAAGTTCTTCACCAACCCGCAGAGATCATTCGCTGCCTCTCCCATCCACAACACACAACACTCCTCGCCCCGAAACGCCTGAACAGCCCAATCCACGGTCGTTGGATGACCTGGGCTTAGCTCCTCCTGCTACAAGGAGTGGCCTTCCGCCCCGCAAGTCGAGCGTCATATCCGCTCAGTTCAGCATGCATGATGAAGAGCCATCCGCTCAGCTTTCAGGTGCCGCCCAAGCTTTACGCCACCGGAAGATGTCATCAGGTGGCGGGACCTTTTCTGCCATGTCGCCTGTGGTTGGCCGTCCTGGGAGATCACCATCTGCCGGGTCCGACTCTTCGGCGTTGCCCAGGCCGTCTTTCAACTTCTCTAGGCCCATGAGCCGACCAGGGACGCCAAGCTTTGAACCTCCTTCAAGGCTCGGTACCCCATCTCGACAGGCATCCTCGGATAGCCAGCCCTCATTTATCCTGGCCGACGATTCAGTCCACACCCCGGTCAGCATGTATAGTGAGAGCTTCCAAGATCAAGCTGTCGATGATCCCGCACGGGGCGCACCTTCTTATATATACTCCAAGTTCTCATTACCCAGAGGTAAGGCAATACAGCGGTCTGAGCCTTTGGAGACAACAGCCGCACCGGCATCTTTTCAAAGGGATCAGCCACCACTCCCCCCTAGCAACCTTCAGCACCTTCCGACAGGAGCACCTCCTTCCCCACCAACTCGGCCCTCGACTTCTTCCGTCAGGCCTGCTCCCGAGGACAGCAACTTCCTGAACACTCAGGCAAGACCATCCACAGAGGCAGGCAAACGTAGTCTAGAGAGCTCGTTGACCCCAACGCTGCCACCACTCAGCCGCGAAACGTCTGCTCCCATGTTCTCCACACGGCTATCTACAGATATGGCTCCTAGAGGGCGCTCTCGCTCAACTCCAGCAGAGGAGTCTGGCCAACCGAAGCCAGCAATTACCAGGACTCCAACTTCTGCTACTACTAGCGACTCGGCCAGCACGATCCGCCCACCAACTACAGCCCGTTCTGCCGCACCTTCAGCATCTGAGATGACGGTGGAGGAGCATCTCAGCAAGGGTATCGAATGTCATGAGAACGGGTCCCTGAAGGAGTCAACATACCATCTGAGATATGCTGCCCGTCATAACAACCCCACCGCCATGCTTCTCTATGCACTGGCTTGCCGACATGGATGGGGGATGCGGGAAAACCAAAAGGAAGGTGTCGAATGGCTGAGAAAGGCTGCTGAATATGCTAGTATTGAGATCGCAGATGATGAGGGCCACGTTAAAGAAGGAAAGCATGTGGACTATATTGAAAGACGAACCCGGAAAGCTCAGTTTGCACTGAGCATATACGAGCTTGGTGTTAGCCATATGAATGGGTGGGGAATTGAGCAGGACAAGTCTCTTGCACTGAGATGCTTTGAGATCGCTGGCAGTAAGTTATTCATCCCAATTCGGTTTTGTGAATACTGGATGCTGACCGCATACCGTAGACTGGGGTGACGTGGATGCACTTTTGGAAGCAGGATTCTGTTATGCAAAGGGTGTTGGATGCAAGAAGAACCTGAAAGCCAGTGCTCGCTTTTACCGTATGGCCGAAGCTAAAGGAATGAGCATGGTTGGCAACAGTTGGTATGTATTCATCTCCATTTTTTTGGGAGGGGGGGTTTGGAATGTTGTGCTAACACTAGAATTCAGGATTCACAAGTCCAAGTATATGGATGAACCTGAAGAAACAGCCACCACTAAGGAATCTCCCAAGAAAGAAAAGCGAAAAGCCCGAAGCAAGTCCCGCACCAGGGCTATGTTTGGACTCAAGTCCTAAGCCATCCCTGGGCTTTATTTATGTGCAAACGCTGCACTTCTCATGATCACGAAACAGTCATTTATTTGCACCCATATGCTACGGAGTTCTGGACGGAGATCACAGGCATTGCACACCGGAATGGTGCAATGCAAAGCATATCCTAATCGTTCACTACTTTTGCTTTGTTATTACGATCTGAACGGCCTCAGGCGCACGGCATCGCGGCGCTCTTTTTTATCCTTTATAGGGAAGCGCAGAGTTTAATTCGATATCGGTAGCTGGGGTGGTTTCTTTTGTTTTTGATGTCACACATTTACACTCCAGTCAACCTTGGAAGATCAAAAAGGCTGTCTATATAAGAGTCACATGCATACTAGGCGCACTGTTTATTCGATGAGATGAGATGACATCTCATATCGTTACTTAATGTAGCGAGCTTGTTAATAGATGCAAGAAACACCCGTATGCTGAGGTGTTAGTAATTAAGAAAAGAACCGTCACATGTACTGAATGTTCAAGGTTGAGTGAGGCAGCATTGTAGAAGGAACGTGCTTCTACTGATGGTTTATCATTTGAAAAGATTTATTCTTATTTATTGTCTGTAATAACGCCGCCATAATCCCACCCAAGACATGGCATGTCTAAGAATCCACCTCCATCTTGTCGGACTCGAGGGGCACCTCCTGCACACTGACGTACCGGCCAATTTCGCTCTTCTTGATAATCTTCTCGTTCAGGACGGCCGTTGTGCCTCTGGCGAACTTGTAGCTCTGCTGCTTGGGTACCTTCTCGTTTGGCTTGATCAGGTTCCTCTTCAGCGTCGTCTTCTCCGGCGTGATGACGGCGACGTCCACGTTCGAGCCGGAGCCCAGGTCGTTCCAGATACCCGCCAGGATGGCCTCGCTGGCGAGCTCAACGGCCTCCTCCTGGGTCAGCTCGGCCTTCCACTTGGACTCGAAGACGCTCATGGCGGCCAAGCTGCCGCTGCCCATGGTGACGTAGGGGAGCTTGTCGGTGCTGCCGTGGGCGTGGACGGTGAAGAGGTGGGTGCCGGTGGGGTCGACGCCGGCGACGACGAGGTAGGCGCCGATGTGGCCCTGGTAGCGGAAGAGGTGCTGCTTGAGCATGGTCATGCACGTGACGACGCGGGGCTTGCGGCCGGTGGACATGGCGTGCAGCTCGAGCTGGGAGGAGATGAGGGCGGTGGTGAACTCGGTGTCGGCGGCGGTGCCGGCGCCGGCGCACCAGATCTGGGGGGCGATGTAGTGAAGCTTCTCACAGTTCTTGTCGGCGACGATGGGGCCCGAGGTGGCTCTGGTGTCTGCGGCAATCTGTTCCGGAGGGTGTCTGTGAGCTTCTGAGGCGGGTTGGGGTGGTTGCCAGCTACATATATGGTACCATGGAGAGGGGAGGTTTGATGGGATGGGGGAATAGATTCATGCTGGGGCGGAGCGGGATGGCAGAGAAACGTACAACAACACCTCCATCGAATATGCATCCTACAATCGTCGTACCGGTGCTGGTAGCCTTGGGGAGAGGCATACCCTGTGCGTGGAGAGCCGCATTGCGGTTGTAGTTGGAGAAGTCGAAGCCAGGCATCTTGAATAATTAGGCAAATGCCGTCCGACTTGGTCTCGAGCCCGAATCCGCCTTGGAGTACAATTTAAACAGATTAGCACCGTATCCGCTTGATATTGGTGTTGGATGAGTTTGGCGAAGCTGAGATCCCCAATGTCGTTGTTGAGTGTCGAAGTTGGTGGAGGGAGGTGGATGCTGGGGGGTATCGTTGGGTCAAGATGCTGGTAGAAGGCAGAGCTGCTGATGACGAGGCTAAAAGCTGCCTTCAGAATGAGGTCCAGGGCACCGGGGCACTGTGGCGGGTGGTGGAGGGTAGGTGGATTGTTGTAGGCGGCGAGCTATCCCCTGGAGCCTGGAGCCGTGCAGTGACGCGATTGGCTGCATGCGCGCTGCACGGCCTGGAGCTGTGCTCCACGTGATGTCGTGACTAGTAGAGCTCCTGCCATCAAAAAAGTTGCTTCAGGCCCGTGCAAGCAGGTACGGACGGATAAGAGAGGCTCAAGAGCCCATTGTATTTGGTGAATGCTGTCGCCCTTGCGAACACAAAGACTTCGAATCCCTGGGCCTCGATCGATCTCAACTCTTTTGGCCACGATCGATATTGTGCGCTTTGCGAATTTCCCTACAAACTCGACAGTATTTGGGATCCCTTCCCTGGGGGTTTAAAGATCCTGGCGCCTATCATCAGGTGAAGCGCGACGGTCGTCGAAAAGGAACCAGAACACCGGATTGTTTGTTCTCTTCATCTGCAGAAACGACCTATGACATCGGATTTGTTTAATTAGGCCATCCATCAGAGATCATGGCCTTCAGTTTTGGCAATTCCGGTGGCGCCCAGGCTGGGAATGCCGGAGGTGCAGCCTCAGGGCCTGAATTAGAAACTATTGCGACCGAGGTAGGTGTGATTTTCAAATGGTATGATATATATTGTGCTTATTGACTAACCCTTTCTTTTCTCTGCACAGGAACTAGGATTTCTCTCTGTTGCCGGCGAGGCCAAAGTTCGCCTTACTTCGTTATGGTCGCCTCTTCCCACCCCGACAGCGTCTCTGCTCGGTGTCGCGTCACGACGAGGTCTTGTTGCAGCCGCAGGACCTGACCATGTTATACTTGCGACAACCGAATCCGTCCGCAAAGCTCTCGAGAACCCCAAGGATGGCGAGTCGGAGATTCGGTCCTTCCAGCCTCAACTCAAGATGCCGCTCCCTATGCGGGTATCCCAATTGGCATTTACGGCTGACGAAAACTATCTCATCCTATCTGCGGAATCTGGAGGCGGTCTCGCTATCTATGAAGTTCAGAGTCTGCTGAATGGCTCCACAAGCTCCGTCTTCGAGCTTCCTACGAACGGAGAGTCGTTGCGACTACTGGCACCCAACCCTACGTCAGAAAAGGCCGAGCTTTGCGCGATTGTGACGACCAACGGGAATCTTCACATGACAAATCTCAAAGAGAGAAAAATCAGCAATGTCCTCAAAAGCCAAGTGAGCTCTGTTAGCTGGAGTTCGAGAGGCAAGCAGCTATGCGCTGGCTTGGCGGACGGCACAATCCATCAGATGACCCCTGAAGGTGAAGCCAAGGCGGAAATCCCCAAAGCCCCGAACCTGGGGAGTTACCATGGTAAGAAATGACCTCTCATCATTTGTCGTTCCTCTATCGGTCATTGTGACTTAACTGACCAATATTACAGTCTCTTCTTTGACATGGCTAGAAAATAATCTGTGGTTGGCTATTTATACCTCCAACGATGAATCAGCCCCATCATCAGTGTACAATATTATTACCCGCACACCTCCTTCCTCCTTTTCTTTCCAGAAGATTTCTGATCCTATCGAACCTTTCGGGGCTGAGAAAGCCCCCCATCATTCAGTCCTCAGGTTGAGGGACTTTCCTCCTGATATCCAGGACCTGCTCATCGTAGCCTCTACTGCATCAACAGACATCGGACTTTTGACCAGGTCTAAGAAAGCCCTTGCTACTGATAAACCAGCCGACTCCATTACCGGGGTGTTCGTCACGACTGAACTACTTGATGACAGCAAAAGGCCTACTCTCCCTATGACGGATTCCATGGACGATTCTACCCCTATCGGAGTTGCTCTGGACCTTTCGAGCAAGGATAAGGTTTACAAACCTATCCCATCAGATGAAGAACTTGAAGAATCTCCAAGCCCTCTTCCTGGGCTGTGGGTATTGACACACGAGGGTGTCCTTTGCCCATGGTGGCTGGTTTACACCGATTCGATCAGAAAGGGAACCCCATACCCCGGTTTGGCTTCTTTAGATAACTCGGCGCCTGCACAACCACCCTCGACGCCCTTTTCGTCGAACACCGGAATGTCAGGCCTGGGATCGACCTCGACTACAACGCCCACCACCACTCCTGCCCCTGCATTTGGCTCTTCGAGCCAGCTGGGAGCCAAAGCTTCGCCTTGGGGAGGAGCCTCGACCACGACTCCAACCCAGCCCACCGCGACCTTTGGATCTAGTACATTCGGTAGCTCTCCCGCCCCCTCGGCCCCTGCGTTCGGAAAGCCAAGCACATTTGGGCAATCATCTCAATTAGGGACGAAGTCTCCTCTCTGGGGAGCAGGAGCTGGATCGGGCTCCACCCCAGCCTTTGGACAGTCTGGGTTTTCATCCTTTGCAAACAAAAACGCATCCACGTTTGGCTCCAGTGCGCAGCCTTCGGCCCAATCGCAAGCGCCGTCATCTGGAGGGTTTGCTGGCTTCAGCAGTCAGGGTGGATTTAGTTCCGTTGCTAACAACAGTCCCGGCGGCAGCATCTTTGCTAGTACCGGAAATCAGGCATCTGGAGGTTCTACCAGCGTTTTTGGATCTGGGTCATCTGAAAATACTAGCTTCGGTGCCAAGACTGATAAGCCTTCAGGTGGTCTGTTTGGTCAACCCTTCAAGCTTGAGAGCTCATTCAAGCCCGATCCGACTTCTGCTGCGGATAATGAAAAGCCTTCGACAACTTCGGGTAGTTCACTATTTGGCTCCGCATTTGGTTCAGCCCTGAACGACGCGAAAACTCAACCGGCCGAGTCAACAATATCCTCAAAGGACGAGGATATGGATGCTGAGGATACAACCGAGCAAACACCCCAGGCAAAGCCTTCTACTTCCATATTTGGCTCACAATCTACTGTGGAATCAACAACTCCTACAACAACACCAGCACCGCCGAAGTTTGGAATAACCACGACGGCGTCAGGGAAATCCATTTTTGCACAGCCCATCACTAGCCTGGGATCTACGGGAGGGCTATTTGGGTCCAAGAATGAACCGGCCAAGACATCATCACCCTTTGGCGGGCTGTTTGCCCAGAAGAAGCAGGTTGAACCTGAGACGCCCAAATCAAAGCCTGGAGAGCAGGAACCACTGCCACCGGACACCACGAGCAAATTGGTTTATCCTCTTGGTGACTCGTCTTCATCCTCTGCTACGTCCAGTGCGCCCACTGCTTCGTCTCAGGTTGCAGAAGCTCCTTTACCTCCCGACCCAGTAGCTACACCCAAGCCTACCAAGGATAGTGACCTGAAAGAAGAGTCATCGTCAGAGAAGAGCGGAGCTGGAGACGCACCTCTACCTCCTGATTTCGTCAAAGTCTCAAAACCCAAGGAAAGCTCAGTGGTCCCGGAGGCAGCTCCTTTGCCTCCTGATTTTGCCAAGCCAGGCAAGACGCCCACTCCACAGCCGCCTTCTATCTTCTCAGAAGCCAACGTGCCTAATACATCCTTTAAGACGGCGGCGCCCACTTCATTTCCGAGCTTTAACACATCGAATGCCCCTCCTGCTCTTGATGACGATGAGGATGAGAGCGATTTCGAGGATGACAACGCTACTGAAGGAAGTGGTGTTGACGTTGCGAAGGATTTGAGCCCCAGCGCGAGTGGTCTTGGCCAGACTACAACTCCTGGCTTTACTCCCCAGAGCTCCTTTGGAGGCGTTGGCTCCAGCGTGACTAGCACAGTCATGGACCGGTCAAAGCCCCTCTTTGGGGAGCTCAGCCGTAACGCCCCCCTATTTCCACGCCCGAATGCAGGCAGCCCTCGTTCTCCAAGCCCTGTCCGAGCAATTCCTGGTCGCATGCTGCGGAACGATACCAGATCAGTGAGCGCGCCTGGAATGGCATCGCAGATAGTAGGACATCACACTCAGTCGCAATTAAGGGGGTCAATTACCAGCCGAGAAACCAATGCGAATGCTGAAGACCATTTCTTGGCACAGAATAGAAAATTGAGGGCGCGGCAAGAGGCGGAAGAGACACAACCCCTTGTTGATGAGGAGGATGACGAGGTGCAAAAGATCCTGGCTTCGGAGGTCGAGGGTACATTGGCCCTGGATGAGTTCATTGCTCATTCGAACACAGGCCCTCCTGCCGGGGAAAGCATTCCTTCGCAAGTTGAAGCTGTATACCGAGATATCAACTCTATGATTGATACTGTCGGATTGAATGCACGGTCTGTCAAAGCCTTTGTCAAGGGGCACACGGAAAACAGAAAGGAGGGAGGTCGAACTAAAGAGGATCTTGAAATCCCTGACGATTGGGTGCTTTGCGAGGTTGACGAGCTAGGAAGAGTTTTGGATGATGATCTCTATGGCGAGTTGGAGAACGGGCGTGTCCGAAATCTTGAGGAAAAGATAGAGGCCTGCCATGGTTTGACGCGAGATATGCATCGACTACGAGCCAAGCAGGAAGATCTTAAGAAGATTATCGCGGCAAGACTGGACCTTGATCAGAAAGCAGCGACCCAGTCTCTGCCACTTAGTGCTGAACAAGCCACGCAGCAAAACGAACTTCGCCGGGACTTTACGAATTTCTCCAAGCACTTAGCTGAGACCGAAGAGGCCCTCACACTGCTCAAGGCTAAATTGGCATCAGTCTCAGGAGCTACTGGAAGGGGAAGCACCAACATGCCAACAGTTGATGCTGTCATGCGAACCATCACCAAGATGACCTCTATGGTGGAGAAGCGAAGCGGGGATATTGATGTGCTGGAAAATCAGCTTCGCAAGGTCCGCCTCAGCACTCCTATCCGTGAAGGGTCACCTGCAGCAACTCCCCAGAACCGAAGGAGCGTCCTCTTCTCCCCTGATTCCACACCAGCTCGAACACTCCGACACAGCTATAATGCCAGTGTAGGATCAATTGGAAGCCCAGCCCGGGCAACGCCCAGGAAGAAGTTGAGTGGGTTCAGCAAGGAGGAAAAGGGAGACCTCATGGACAAACGGGCCCGCCGACAAGCAGTCTTGAACAAGTTGAAATCCAGCGTGGAGAAGAAAGGCGTTAGTGTTTGGAACATGGAAGATATCGAATAAGTAATCCGCGGGCGCCAGTGCAATGCACGATTTATTTTTAATTAGTTTTCTCCGTCTTCTTTTTTGCATTGGGTTGGAGAGATGGGATTGACAGGGAAATATATATATGTAGTTTAGATAGTAGAAATTGGAGCATCAATCGCATTGACGTTGGATCAAGCGATAGACACACTGACACACCATCTTCTCTTTGGTTGTATTGCATGAAGCGGGTCCCATAGCTTCCCGAATCAGACGTGACGAAGCTAGATATTCGGTGAGGATCCAGTTACAGAACCGGAACGGACTAGCGCCTTTTTCACCGAGATCTCCCAGCCGGTAGCCTAGAAAGTTGGAGGGGCATCAAAAAATTTCCCAGTGTGACATCTTGGCTGCAAGCTCTCGACAATCATAATCATCCTACAATTGCGATGGCCCCCTCGACGAAAGCGCAATGGGCGCAGCCTCCCAGCAAGGAAGAACTAGAGCGCCGGAATGTAAGCTGCATTTTCCCTTCAAAAACAACTGGCAAATATTTTAAAGACTAATTCAAATTTTGTCTTCCGCAGACGGTGAACATTAACAAAGAAACGGTCACCAACACAGTATCGACCGATTTTCCCGGCCACTTCCCCGGAGAAGATCACGCCTTCTCAATTGATCGATTCCAGTCTGGCTTTGACATCTCTTTCCACCAGAACGATCAATTCCATGCCTCCTTCTCCCTCGTCGGCATTGACGCCTCTCTCGCCAATGCCTTCCGCCGCATCCTGATTGCCGAAATCCCAACACTCGCGATCGAGAACGTATTTATAACAAACAACACTTCCGTCATTCAGGATGAGGTTCTTGCCCACCGACTGGGCCTTATTCCCTTCAAAGGCGGTAGCGAAGGTCTGCGCAACTTCCTGCGGTTCCACAAGAAAGGCGAGGATGCCCAGGACTATGACACAGTCCAGCTGGACCTCAATGTGACCTGCACCGTAAATACCGACGCCGCGCCAAACGAGACGGACCCCCTCAAGGCCTACCACAACGCCCATGTCTATGCCAAGGACATCACCTTCACCCCCCAGGGCCGGCAAGAACAATACTTCTCGGGCGAGGACGCAATCGTCCCCGTCAACCCAGACATCCTCATCGCCAAGATGCGCCCCCGGCAGACCATCGAGCTCTCCATGTACATGAACTTGGGCGTTGGCTCCGACCATTCCAAGTTCTCCCCCGTCGCCACCGCCTCATACCGCTTGATGCCGACGATCAAGATCACAAGACCCATCATCGGCGCCGATGCGCACAAGTTCGCCAAGTGCTTCCCTGAAGGCGTCATCGGGCTGGAGAAGGTCTCAAAGAAGGAGGCGGGACAGCGGGACAGCGGCTACGAGGGCCACGCTGGGGAACTAAAGGCCGTCGTCGTTGACCCTATGAGAGACACGGTCAGCAGGGAGTGTTTGCGACACGAAGAGTTCGAGGGCAAGGTCCAGCTGGGACGAAGGAGGGACCACTTCATCTTCTCCGTCGAGAGCACGGGGCAGTGGGACAGCGACGAGCTGTTCCTAGAGGCAGTGAAGAAGCTGAAGCAGAAGTGCAAGAAGCTCGAAGACCAGGTTGACAACATGGTTCGGTAGAGAACCGAGAGTTGCCCTTTTTTCGAGCGTCTTCATTTTTCCACACACACATACACACGTCTTTGCTGCATCGGGGAACTTGGATGAGCCTTCAATTTTGATATGTATATTGGACTCAGTTCGCATCTTTCTTTTGTCACTGTGCTGTTATTCTTAGGTGTTCGCAGGGTAGATAGACAAGAAAAAAAAGGGAATGATACCATGATACTTGAGACTCCAGCGCTTCCTATCCCCCCTCCTCCTGCATAAATAATGTTGCTCCTTTTTTTCGTCTATTTTTCTCATTCCTCATTTTCAGAATCAATGTTAGCCCGAAACGCCATAAAAACGATGTGTTATTGATGTTGCAAGAATACCACAACTCCCAACAAATGCCTTCCCCACCCTGCCATGTGCTTGCCAAAAAAAAAAGAAAAAGGAGAGACAAAGATGGACTCGCTAAATGTTCTACTCAAGACTTGAAAACAAGGTAGAAGGTGAACTCGAGAGGGAAGGCCGGGTCGGTGACGACAATCTCCTGCCTGTTCTCGAGGCCAAGCTCGGCCAAAGACTTGGCGAGGTTGGGCCGGGTCCTCTGCTCCAGGCTGGGAGGGAACTGCATGTAGAGGGTCTTCCCCTCGGCCCGGACCGAGGGCTTCTTAAGCTGCGCCTCGGGGCGCACGGCGAAGGAGTCCAGGAGGGCCTGGAGGGTCGTGTTGGGGTCGACCTCGAGAGGCCTGGACTGCTTGCCGCAGACGGGGCAGTCTGGCTTCTGCTCGTGCTTGAAGGTGTAGGTGTAGACGCTGTCGTTCCCGGAGTACATCATGTAGTTGTTCTCGAACCCCAGGCACGGGGCGGCGGACGTGGCGAGCTTGAAGGCCTCGTTGCAGCACGCGGCGGCGATGATGGCGTTGGTGGAGGCGATGGCGGGGATGATGTTCTTGATGGTGCCCTGGGTGAGCGAGTAGGTGACGCCGGGGATGTTGAACTCCTGTGCCCGGGTGAGGGCCTTCTTGTAAAGCCAGGTGACGTGCTCCGGGTCGTCCTTGTCGAGCTGGGGGAAGGGCTTCTCCTCGTCCCAGGCGATGACGTGGGCCCACTCGACGCAGTGCTCGGGCTGCCGCGGGATGGAGGCGATGGTGCAGAGCGGCACGGCGGCTCTGGGCGCGTGCATGTCCAGCTGGCACTCGATGCATGAGGTGATGGTTGGCAGGATCACCCGGGCCTGGCCCTTGAAGCCCTCCGTGCCGCCGTCGACGAGGGGCTTGATGTTGTCAGGGTCGTCGGACCCGTCCTCGGCAATCGAGACCAGCATGGCGTTTATCCATCTTCGAGCTTCGATGCTGTCAAGCCCGCAGACGACGAGCTGGAACTGCTTGTAGAAGCTCTCGTCAAAGTCCTGGATGCGATTGTTGTACGCGGTGATCTTCACGCCCTTGACCCTCTGCTCGACAAACCGTGCAGCCACTTCTGCCTTGTACTTCCCGACGTCCGACTTCCTGAACAAGAATTGGCGGTTGAGGTTGGATATATCAATTGTGTCTGACGAAGGAATAGATATCAGCTGGGGAATGTGCATGTTTGAGGGCCGGAGTGACGCTCACCCATGTCAATAACGTGAATGTCTCTGAAATGGGACATGGCCAAGTTCTTGAGGATCTCACATCCTAGACCACCGGCGCCTCTGCAAGCATATAGTATTGTTTAGTCGTTATACTCATCGTGTGGTGGTCTCGGACATGGAACGAAGGGGAAACGAGGAGCATCGCACATTACCCTGTCGATAGCTCGTTAGCAGCTGCAGGTCAACGTGCCGACCTTGCGTCAGCAGTAGGGAAGGGGTGGGAGCGTACAAGATCTTCATCTTTTCGAAATTCGCCAGCGATTCCTCGTCCGCGGCGCTGGGATCAGTGAACGGGCCTGGGCTCCGGCGGATCTGGTCGAGCAGTCGCCTGCGGACGGGGGCTCTGTTAGCGACCGTCACCAAAGAGCTACATTGGCGAGCTTGCTTACCACCTGGCTGTCTCGTTGGTTGGCTCAACAGGAGCCAGATTCTGTGTGGCAGCCATCTTCTTTTTAGGTACTAGAATCTGAATTGGTGTCGACGGGTTATATCTGTTGTACCAAAAAAAGGTACCAAAGGACAGACAGGCCTCGACCTCATGCGCCTCGAGAGTTGGGAGGGGATGGATAGGCAGCCGTGCATTCGGTGAGCAGTGGTGAGGGTCGGTGAGTTCGGTGGAGGTGGGGTAGCTTCCAAGCTCTCCCACAGCCCCGGCAAGGAACAAGAAAGTGCACTCTTCCTCGTCTCTCAGAGTTTTATTTTTGTTCTCTTCTCTTCAGTCTGTTCCGGTATGAGTAAATAAGACGGGCCTCGGCATTCGTTCGATTCTGTGCCGTTGATGGCGTTCTGGCAACAATGGACGAGCTTCTCACGCCGATCAGCACCACATACCTGAAGCCTAAGGTGGCAGAGGCACCACTTCTCACCGAAGTTGCGTCTCAGAGCAAGCAAATTACGCCAGCTGCCTCGGCTGCGGGTAAGATAACTTCACCCGACGAAGCTTTGGACACGCTTAAAAACCAGCCGAGTTATGACGCTCTGCTTACCACCCTGGAATTTCTCACCAACAGTCAAGGCTCAAGGAACAGCAATTTCAGTCTTCATATACCAAGTCCGAAGAGCGCGGCTGTGGTGAAGATACTGGTGACTGAAATTGCGCACAACTATTGGCCACTATTCTCTGCTTCCGGCGATGGCGACACAGACGACACGCTTCGCCCTAAAGAAGCGTTTGTCAGATGTCTCGGCAGTGTCACAGGAGTCAACGCTATCTTATCCCATATGGCAGCTCTGATAAACGAGGTGAAGAGTAGCAGCAAGGGAATCTCTCGCTCTGACTTGACCCTCCATCTGGAGATATTTCTTGACCTTCTTTCTACAATCCTTGGCGGCGATCATGCGGCCCAGCAGTTATGGACGACATCTACCAAAGAGCTCACAAACGACATGTTAAAGAAGGGTCAAACCCAGACATTTATCTCTTTATTGACAAACGGACGTATCGTTTCAGTTGCTGCTGAAGCTCTTACTCTAGTAGGGGAGGGGCAGCTCCGCAATGTTCCTAGATGGACTGCTGATGGGCTGGAGTATACTTTGTGGCTTGGGCGAAACGTAGCCCTTTGGGCAAAGTTGGAGTCTTCAGATACAGAAATGCAAGTTTGCTCTGATCTAGTACAGAGAGGAGGCTCGCTGGGCTATGCTGGTAAGCAGGTTGCTTCTCCTTGTCCTGGATTCAGCTTGGTCGTCTTTGAACTAACATGCTTGACTTTGCTCTACCCGCCTCTAGAGAGGCTGATCAAATTTCTCATTGACGATATGTTACTTACCCAAGGAGCGGATCCGAATATCTTTGTTAAACTCCTATTAAACCAACTACAAGCAGCAAGGAAGGTGCTGCACATTCTCCTGGACCATTTATCAAATAGATTTTTAGACCGTCTACAGCCTGAAGATCCATCCGCAAGTTCAATCATTTCGGCGGCTGCCGGTATTATTGATTCTGTGATCCAAGGTGATAGGGTGAGAGAATCTCATCTGATAAAGTGGTGTTCCTCCTCGTCCGGAGCAGGACTCGGGCACGGGGTTGAGATAAGGAGGGCAGTCCTAGCCGCCCTCTCCAAAAACAAAGAAAACATCAAGGCTGTCCTGGAAAAATCGGTATCTCAGTTCGGCGACGAGCTATATATTAAGCATGCCGCTATCCTGCAGCAAAATGGCAAGTGAGGTCGATTTCGAGACAAGTTTACTAATGTTCTAACTTGCATTCTCTAGTTCACACCGAGATATTACTTCTCAGCGCTGGGTATGTCTCTCGATCACTGCCTATTAAGCTGGCAATGTTGCTCAGATCGGCGCCATACTTGCGAGCCATCTCCAACCGCATCGCTGCAACACAGAGTCGTGCTCGATTCCTCGGGATGGTTGTCGGCGAAACCCTCTCAGGTCTGGTTGACAGCAGTGATAAAAAGCTCGATTTCCACATGGACGACATGGGGTTTGCGGATATGGGAAGTCTCAAGGAACTGTCCAAGATTTCAGACAGTATTGGACCTGCAGAGCCAATTCTCTCAACTCGCCAGCAACCTCCTCCCCAGCTGCAACCAACCACAGCATCAAAGAAAGTGCCAAAGAAGAAGGCAAAGCCAGCTTCACCTACTGTCCAACCTAAATCTATCATCCAAGAAATAGATTCTTCCGGGGAGGAAGATGAAGACGAGGGTTTGGTGCCGTACGCCAAGCACTCGGATCCAGAAGATTCAGATGATGACCCAACACTCATTCAGCGAAACCGGGTGAAACCACCGGTTTACATTCGCGATTTGATAGCCTTTTTCCGGGACTCGGAGTCCTACGACAAACAAAACTTGGCCCTACAGACAGCTCCATCGCTTCTCCGACGCAAAGCCAACTATGGCACCGAAGTCAGCTCGCACGCGGACGAGCTAGCAGGCTTACTCGTGGGTTTACAGGATAAGTTTGACATAGAAGAGTTCCATGACCTTCGGCAACAGAGCATGATTGCTCTGATTGTCTCGCAACCCAAGACGATGGCTCCTTGGTTCGCACGCACATTTTTCGAGGGTGACTATTCCCTAGCTCAGCGTACTGAGATAATAGTTGCGCTGGGTCTCTCATCGCGAGAGCTTGCTGGGTACGACATCTCGCAGTACCAGTCGTCTGCATCGTTTCCCTCAAAGAAGCTGCCGGAGAAGATCGAGCAGCTCTACGTCAGGGAGGTAAAGGCTGAGGACCATTCACCCGCCTCTCGCCTCAAGCCATTGGCGCCCACAGCCCTCGACAACATCGCAACCTCGGTGACGTCCGCGTTCCTCGAACCACTAGCAGCAGAGGCTGCAGACACAGTCACCGGGCCCGACGTACTGAAGCTGCAGACGTTCACTGCCAGATACAAATCCAAATCCGCAAAGCGGCCTCGCGTCCGAGCCATCCCGAACACCACAGCCGGCCTTCTAGCATCGTCCTTCTTCTCGCCGCTCACTGCTCATTTCAGCGTGGCTCTGCATTCTCGCAGGCCAATGATCCTAAACCCGGCTCTCCTCGGGCTCTACCTACAGACCCTCGGCATAATCGTCCATGCCGCCGGTCCATCGACCCTCTCCCTCCCACAGCTGACCTCGGAGCTGTGGTCTCTCCTCCTGGGAACCAGGCAGCATGCGGTCGGGGATCTCGGCGCGCTGAAGGGGTGGTTCGTCGCAATGGCTGCCTTAATAGAGGTCAACGAGGGCGACATGCGCCGGCTCTGCCAGGAGCTGGGGAGGGAAGTGGTCGAGACGCGGGAGTGGGCCAGCGGGGTGTTTGAGAGGATCAGGGGAGAAGACGGCGGCGACGAGAACCACGTCAAGATGCTCGCTGCGGGTGTTCTTATCCGGCTGGGTGAGGCGATTGAGAAGTACCAGGCTTTATTGATGGGAGACTTGATTGGGTATACATAAGATGCCTTGGTTAAATGTGGGATCACAGCATCGAGAACAAGCTCCTTTTGCAAATGCCCGTTTGATACCTAGCCATGCATACTTGTATAATACTTGTATGGTAACTTGATATCTGCTCATTCGTCACAAGGTGTCCAATAATGATTCATGTCGTGCACTATAAACTTATTGGCCATTCTATCATACTATTCCTCCGGATTTTACAACAAATGCTCATGATCTCCAAGGATATTGTTCATCTCGAGGAGAGAGAAAGATCATGACGCCTATGAAATGCTATTACGTACCAAACGATCTCATTTCCAGCGTAGTAGTGCATGTACATGATACGGGTTCTTCCCGACAATCGCTCCTGTATCCCAACTCCAAAAAAAAAAACTCCTCGTCAACAACAGCAGTTATTAAATCAAACATTAGATAGGCATCCAGCCCTTCTTCATGCCTTTACACTAGTAAGGTCTGTGAGTGAAATGTGTCTAGTAATTACAAACCCACCCACTTGGGGGGGGTTCATTGCGTATCTTCATTTTTCCATCTCTCATGAAGGGGTTACGAGATCAGGAGTCTCAGCTCTGGTCGAACTTGCGCGTCGAACCTGCAATCCCGAGAGATAGGCATCAGCGTGGCTGAGGTGGGCACCCAAAGACATGGCCATTCTGCGAAGCTCTTCCTTCACTTCTTCATGGGAGGCTTGACCCTCCATGACTTGAGGCAAGGGCGCCAGCGGTAACGGGGGTAGGAAAGAGACTCCATTTCCACGAGAAGGTGATGGATGGCGAATTACCGAACCCGGCTCGTCATCATGATAGCCATTCTCGTGTGGAGACACAAATGGAAATTGTGCAGTATTCGCGGAAGTCGTAGGCTGTGGGGTTGGGTCGTCGTCAGGGTATTCAGGGTCCATATCGGCAAAGTCACTCAAGGAGTAAGGGCGTGCAAGGTCATTAGATAGACTAGGGGAATGGCCGTTGGACTGAGCAGCATGGTTGACGCCGTTTGCCATCACATCATGCTGCATGTTTGAAAACTCAGATTCATCCGAAACATAGATGGATGGCTCGCGGTACGTAGCTGGCATCGCATAAAAGGATGTGTGTCTTTCAAGCTCGAACGGGTTGGTGCTACCGAAATCAGAACTGCCCACGGAATTTGCATCTGAGTGAGAGGTGGATGGACGTGAATAATCCATGGGTGTGTCGGGCATGCTCAGGTCAAGGTCAATAAGACTCCCTGTAGACGCCCGGTTATCAGCCGAAGGCGTCGGGGCGAGATCGTTATATTGTGAAGAGGGAGGTAGCGGCTCCGTAGGCCGATGAATAAGAGGGGGGCGACTGGTGACTGGGCTGGGTGCTGGCTCTGCCTCCTCGGGCATGGCAGGAAATCGGAATGCTTGCGGATCTGGAGGAGCAGGACCCGGTGTCAGGGAGGGGAACTTCCAGTCCTGTGTCCTACGGTTTCCCTTTATGTCGCCAGGATCACTCAGAGGTCCGTTATCAAAAGGCTCCGGGTCTCCCATGTCGAAGTCGACTGGGAATCTAGAATCCCCAGCCTTGAGAGTGTTCAAGTCAACAAAGTCCGAAAGCTCGCTGCCGTGCAACGAGGCATCCAGGTCAATAAGCGACTTCCTGCCTATATCCAAGTCAATGAGTGACTCCCTCACATCAGATGAAGGGAGAGAGTCATCACGAAGTGGTAGATCGGAAGCATTCGGCGCAGCAGGTGGGGCAGGGATGGGAAAGGGACGGCCATAGTATGCCCTCGAATTGTCTTCATAATTGGACATGGTGTTTGGATCAAACAATTTCTCCAGGGGAGCCTTGACGGACGGCAGATAAGGAGGAGGTCTCCGACGACCTTTGGGTTTCTGGGGGCGAGCTGTTTCCTCATACTTCTCTTGGACAAAATCCACGTTGGATCCGTACACATCGTACACATCCTGTGCATCGCCATTGTTGAATACTTGCTGATCAAAGGCAGCTGTTGTGCTGAAATTCCATTCGTCATCAGCCATCACTGCTGCTGCGAGGTCTGCTGGTGCCTGCGCACCTCCCAGGTTGAACAATGACCGTCGGTCACCTCCTTGTCCCTCCCAAAGTTTAAAGGCTCTCACGAGATGAGCCAATGATTCTGTTGGGTAGGTATCCTCGGTCTTGAACAAGTATCCGTGGCGCTGAATCTGAGTAATACTGGGTCTCTTGGCCGGATCGTGTTGCAGGCAGTAGCCAATGAGGTCCTTTAGGCCAGAAGAATATTTATCACCATCCAAGCGGGGTGTATTTTGCTTGACATAGGTTCCGAGTTTTGTGAAATCCATACCAGCAGCCACATTCGGCGGTAACCCCGAAGCAATCTCGAACACCATAGCACCAAAAGCCCAGATGTCAACCTCAGTGCCGTAGGAGGCGGAAGGATCGAAAAGCTCTGGTGCCATCCAATGCGGCGTGCCAATGACAGTAGTTCTCTTGTCGAACTTGGTCTCGATGACACCGGCAACACCGAAATCGCAAAGCTGGACGTCTCCGACCTCGGTAACCAGGACGTTGGCGCACTTGAGATCACGGTGAATGATTCCTTGAGCATGAACCCAGGAGATGGCCTCTGCTGCTTCGCGCAAGATAGGAATGATCCATTTCTCCTGCAGGCCACCGGGCGCCGTTGGCTTCATGAGAGTCGCCACACTCCCCCCCGCGCAGTACTCTGTGATCATCCACATGGACTGGCCAACGGGGAGAGCCTCGATAACATGATTGATGTTTTTGGCACCCGTGTCGCTCAGCATCTGCAGGGCGTTGATCTCCTTGAGCAGGTCGCTGTAGGTATCGGCCATCCTGGGGTCCGCAGTGTCGCTCTGGTCGATGTCAATAATTTTGACAGCGACCAGCTGCTTGGTGGTCAGTGAGGTGGCCTTGTAGACACGGCCAAAGCTCCCCTTGCCGATGAGCTCCGAGAGCTGGTACTTGGGGACCTCTTTTCCGGACTTGTTGCACTGCTCAATAACCCTCTTCTGCATTTTCAAGGCATCGTCGAGAGCCTTTTGTTTGGTGCCGGAGACCTCCGGCCACTTCACCTGAAGAGACGCCATGGTGAGCCGCCGGTTTGACTGATGTTAATTTCTTGAACGAGTTATTCCACCTCTCCCAGCTGCGTGAGCGCGGGCTAGTGCGTCACGGCCGCCGCCTCTAGGTTTCAGAATGTGGCTAGCCGTGCTTCATGTGAAGGCTTTGAAGACCGGGAATGGCAATGATCTTGCTGGACGCTTTGTTGTTTGGACGAATGGCTCAGTGAGTAAGGCTGGGTGAGTAATCTGTCCCACATGGCGGGTGGATTTTCATATCACGATGATTTTCCCGTCCCAGCCCTTCCGAGTAACTATGCAAAGGTGCAAGTGAGAAGAGAGACAAGCCCCTTCATGGAAGCCGCATCGATAAGGTTTGAAGCCTGCTGATGTTATGAACTGACCCGATTCCACCATCAACAAAACCGCCATCTGGAAACGACGTTGGGCGCCAGGGGCTGTTGCGAAGTTTTACCGATGCTTCAGAGGCCTGTTCGCCGACGGGCTTATGTCAGCCGTTCTTATCTACGAGCACCTTGGCCTGATTATCTCACGAGTCACGTCCTGCGTATTCCGTATTTCGTCTTCACACACAATTGGAAGGAGGGATGACACATAGGACGGAGAAAAACAGAGCTGTTGAAGAGGGCGGAGGCGGAGCGGGATTCAATGCATGCGCCAGCAGCTGAATTGAAAAACAAAGAACTCGGAATACAGTATTACCGTGGCGTTCTCACTATTCTTGTGGCTGCCCATAATCTCATGCATGTGATGCTCAGCTCCAATCCCACCAATGTTTTGTTGTTGGTAATAGATTAGGCCCTGATTGATGAATAGCCCCATTACGATCCTACATGGCAATATATCCGTGCTACAAACAAACAAGCGATTGCGGAGAGGCCGGAGAAGGCCGAGAGTCCCCTGTCTGTTTGTCGAAGCAAACTTCAATCCGTCAAACAACCGGTGTACATGAATTGAACCGGACGACGATGACTGGCCAGAACACGCAGCACTAGTATTTTGACAGGGGAAACTACCCGCCAGTTCGCTTCCACGTATGTCCAACCTGGGTAATCAATAGGTCGGTAATTATTATTGTTCTTGAAACGTCCGTATTGAGGAATGTCGCTCTTGTCTGCATAAACCATGTGCCAGCCACGGTCATGCGGAGCCAAGACACGCCGGCCTGGAACTTACGCGAAGACAAACAGGGAGGTCTGGAGGTGATACCTGACCTGTCCTAGAGCGGCGCGCTCATGCACGCAAGCACCGTAATCTGCAGATATTGTAATATCTGCCCTGCCCTGGCTTGTCCAACGCCAAATGTCGGCCGGGCGGGCGGCGAAGACGAGAAGCGATGACCAAGAGGGGTGAGCTGGCTGCAGCCACAGCACAAAGGACATTCTCTCCAACGTCATTCGGGACGTATCTGCGCACGGCTGTATTACGTCGGCCGCGAACTAAGGCAGTCAGATGGAACAATTGCAGAAGCTATGCAGGGAGAAGGAAGACGCCACAGAACGGACGTAGAACGAATTTAGCATCATCTACACGCTAATAACCAGCCAGTAGACTGGCCCGTGGTAAAGCTTGCGATAACAATAAGCTAACGGCGACTGGCGCATCCTGTGCAATGGGTCCGCCCGGCCGATCAGGGTCGAAGGAAAAGGGGACAAGACAAGACTATCAAATCTTCTGGTTCGGCTTCAGGAGACACTCATGCGTAGCAAAGGCGTAATCTGCTGGGGTCTGAGGACAACCTTGAAGCCTCGGGCTCGACGGACTCGTGCTCGCTTAGCGCTGCAGGGAAGAAGAACCCCCAGTGCAATCCAATAGCCCAGATGGCAGTCCCTTGGCGGTCTACAGGGAGAGAGGCCATAGTCGGGTGTGCTGAAGAAGCATGTCTGAGGCACCTGGCAGCGACCTGCAGCGCCCACCAGCCCCCATAAGCTCGGGCCACAGCGACACCTAGCCAATCGTATCGGCGGCCCCTCTTCCCCAAAAAAGTCCCCCTCAATGATCCCCGTCACAAGGCCAATCCCCCGGCTGCGAATCTTGTCGGGGTCCATTCCGTCCACTTGCACGCGGGCACACCTCACACCGGAACAGAGCCTGAGACTCTTACGCCAACAACGGGCTTCAACAACGTGCGTCCACACACACTCGCTCTCAGAATCTCACTGGATTTGCCTCCCTCCCCCACAATGCCCAGCTCGCCTAGTCATACGAATAGGGAATTGGGCCATGTGGCCAACAGTATGGGCCGACGCGCGGGACCGACTCCTATTCAGCTGCTCCATCCGGCTCTCGCCTTGATCCCCCAGCGGTTCGTGAATCGCTTCGACCAAGTCCGTGGCTGTTGTTGCTCCTCAACTCTATTGATATCGCCTCCCCAATAACACCTAGTCCGCTTTGCTGGTCCTTGTCTTGTTCCTTCAAGCCCAAGCCTCTTCCCCACCCGCCCACCCACCATCTCCGTCTTAGCAACAAAGCCGGTATGACAAAGATGGTTGGAGGCTCCGACTCGTTGAGGCCTCGGGGATAATCGCAAACCTTTGCTTTCCTTGTTTCATCCAGCTAGTGCTGATTTGGCCCAAGCCCCTTGCCCTCCATGGCTTAATCTGCCAACCTAACCTCCCCCTGCACCTCCACGGTCTGCTGTCGTATTCAATCAGATTCGCCCTGACAAGTCAGCCAGCCCGGTCTTGGATTATTCTGGTTCACATTCCACATGGGTGAAAGAAGGTAGGCTAAATGTGGGGGATACTATTGCGGCGGCGGGCGCACCCATGCACATGCATACACACACTTCCACACCACATGCCACACCGGCGCATACATACATATACGTCCACACCACTAGGTCCGCCTCAGCAAGTCCATGGTGAAAGGCTTGCCCTCCCTGAGTTCTCGGGGTCCCAGAGGAACAAAAAAAAAAGAACGGGCCTTCCCTGTCCGGCATGGTATTGTCGTCTTTGATCCGACTGCCCCGTACCTGATATAAGTGTCGGTATTCATTATATTGCACTGTCCTTTCCCTCTGGTGCCTCTGGCGTCGTGTACTTGATCACACCCTCGTCCGGCAGACAATATTCCTGCCTGGATTGATTCGTCTCCCATCACCTATCTGGTTCATTGGGTAGCTCTCTGGGAATAAGAATGGGGAGTCGTCGGTGACGGGGCAACTCCTCATAATGAATTCTTCTTCTATGGATCTGCTTGGGACTGAACTGGTATCTCAAACGACTCGTACCACACAATCCACATACCTCGACAATAACACCGACAGCCAGTCCCTCACAAACCTCAGCAGTGAACATCAGAGCCTTCGCCATGGACTGATCGCCATCTCCGTGTTGAGCGCCATATCGCTAACGCTGTCATCCAGCCTCTTCACATATCTCACTTACAAGCTGATTTCATGGAAACTCAGCAAGCGGGAGCGGGCCAGGATTCTGGTTCAAAATGTCCCTGATGTCCCTCCTGTACCGAATCTAGATTTCCAAGATGGACCTTTTGTGGCGGACAGCCAAACGGCCAAGATCGCCCATGAGGAGCACATCCGTCAGATCCGCAGCATTGAGAGAGAGGCTCCGAATCAATTTCTCATCCTGATTTACAACCTGTTCCTCGCCGACATCCACCAGGCCATCGGCTTCTTCATAAGTGTCGTTTGGCTCAGCAAGGATGGCATCTACATCGACTCGCCTGCCTGTTTCGTCCAGGCCTTGTTTATCCCCAATGGCGATTTGGCTGCCAGCTGTTTCATTACCCTCATCGCCATCCACACCTACTTGTCCGTAGTGAGGCAGTACCAGCCTCCGCAACGAGTTCTCAATGGTGCCATTGTCTTCATGTGGGTTTTCGTCTGGGGCATGTCGGCCATCCCCATCCTGGCAACCAACAATGGAAAGGTGGCGGGCGGCTTCTTCGTTCGGGCTGGTGCTTGGGTAAGTCATTTTCGCGTTTCTGTGCCGGAGCTGGCGACTTCTTCCTCGGTCAACAGCGCAGTTGCATGTTACCCCCTTTGTCTAACCCTTCTCTCTGCTTCCAGTGCTGGATCACCAGGTATTATGAGAATCTTCGACTTCTTACACATTATCTATTCATATTTATTGCCATCATCGTCACTTCTGGTCTATACATTGCTACTTACATCTCCCTCCGACGCCAAATGCAGCTGAAGGCGGCCATGCCCCATGTTCAGCTCAATCACAACCCAGTCTTCCTGATCTATCCACTCATCTACGTCGTCTGCACCTTGCCCCTGGCTGTGGGCCGTGTAGCCACAATGGCACACGCCAATGTCCCAATCCCATACTACTGCTTCGCGGGCGCGGCCATGGTTTCCAACGGCTTACTCGACTGCATCCTTTTCAGCAGTACTCGCCACTCCATCGTCTTCGGTGCTGCCGATCAGATCGGAATGAAAGACACCGGCCTTGACACCTTCTCCTTTATGCGTACGCCCGCCAGCAAGTTCGGAAATAACATTTGGATTCAGGGAGGAGGGTCAAGTGGGAGTCGAGGCGAGGGATGGTCAGGGGTCGGAGGCTGGTGGCAGGCTCGTGTTGGGAGAGACGGGACGAGAGCGACGCCCCCACGAAGTGTCAGCCAGGAGTCGTTACGGGCCGGCGAACTCAACGACTTGGCCATCCAAATGAACGTAGTGACGACAATGACGGTCGAGGTAGACCCTGAAAGGAGCCGCAACCGCCATCAAAGCGAGAGCCTCTCGGCCGCCAGCGATGATACAACGATCAAAAGAACCGAAAGACAGTTCTAGAGAATCTCTACATTTATGTATATATTTTTTACTTGAACGGTGGTGGCGTTCGTCAGGTTGTTTTGGAGTTCAGTCACACACATGCTTTGGCCGGATGGCGCCTGGTTCCTTTTACATAGACTCATGGTGTGTACGATGAACGAGGGGACAGAGGACAATGCATTACATAGCGAGGAGATACTACAAGGTTAGACTCATATCAAGGCAGAGTCACAATTCTAGCCCAACAAAACAACTCGGCTGTATACTCTTTCGCCACATCTTATCACGCCTTATTAATATGAATATGAATGAGGATCCTGGAATGCATTGGTCGCTGATATAAGAACTCGTATGTCTAATGCGTAAATTTTACAATCTAAGTCGCCTGTTAGTCCAACGGTTCGTCCTCCAGTTCGGCCACCAGCTCGTCCTCTAGTTTCTCTGCAGTCGATGGGACATCGCCGCCGCCAAACCGAACCAACATCTTCTCGTGGACGCCGGGGTACCCCTCCTCGCACGAGCTCTGGAGCGCGCCCACCAGCAGATAGGGGCAGCTGAGGATGACGTCCTCCACCAGCTCGAGCCCGCCCTCCTCGTCCTCCTTCTCGCGGACCTCCCAGGTGGACTCGAGGGAGACGGCGAGGCTGCTGCGGATCCTCACGAACATGCCGTTCTCGATGTCGATGAACTCGTACGTGCTGGTCACGTCCGAGTCCCACAGCCCCGCGGGCAGCGTGTGCACCCGGTCAATGACCTCGAAGCACGCCGGGGCCGCCTCCTCGAGGACGGTGACCTCGCGCTCGGCGGGCACCTCTGGCCGGGGGTCCGGGAGCGCGGTCGACGAGTACGATATCATGTGGGGGTCGCACTTGATGAAGAACTCGTGCTCCCGGAGGACGGAGATGGCCTTCTCGGCCGGGATGCCCTCGGGGATGGGCGTGACGTGCGTCAGCCTGACGGTCGAGTTGAACCATGCTGGCGAGAGGGAGAGTCCGGGTTTAGCATACGGCGAGGACAGTAGGGTTAGTTGCTGCTTGAGGACTTACAGGCCATAATGTGGCGGATATTATTAGTGGGTTAGGTGAGAGCGGGCAGGTCGATGCTGGGAGGCTGTTGGTTTGGAGATACGTTCACTACCGATACCTGGGTAGACACCAAAACTCCGGCGCCGAAGAGATAAGGAAATGAGAAGCAAAAGGTCGAGAAGCAGACGGCAAATAAATGATTCCTGTGGTGTTCAATTGACTGATGATGGGGAAAATTGTGCTACACAAAAGTATATGTATACGACGTGCTCTGAACCACATGGCCGATAGCGCTTGCGCCCCTAGGCATCAGGGGGGGCAAATGTGAACCTAAAGAGAAGAGAAGAGTCTCATTGTCCGTCGAGACACTCGCCTCATCGCGCGGCTGGTTACATAATTCACGAGGTATAAGCCACTATTAGCTTCACGGCAGTCATGAGCGCACATCACGAGTCGGAAATGGGCCAAGGGGTCAAACCTTATTAATAACTTGCGGTGCAATCCGTCCGGAGAGAGTCGCTACAGGGTAGGTAGTCGGGCAGCGGGAATCACATCACGTCCCATGTAAAGTGGATGGAGCACGCATCAGGTGACTTCGTGACTAGCTGGTGCTTAACGGGCTCACGACGCGGTTTCTGGGGCAGACGACCCTGACCCGCCTGACATGATCGGAGACATGACCCAGAAAAGAGAGTGGGAGTCTCGATAGGGTTCGTTTTCGTTTTCGAGAGCCATCCATCTTTCCTTCAAGGCTTTTTCTCTCTTGGGCTCTCCTGGGCTGCGGTTTGTGCCCCTTCCCATGGAATCGACATATCTATGGTAGCTTTTTACCCTAAAGTCCAGTCTTAGCCCACCACGATGGTTGCGTCAACGAAATCCCGGTCTTCCAATACCCCGAGAAAACCGACGAATGCTGCATCTAATTTCTTCGCCAAGAAGCAATCGAAGCCCAATGCGAGTATTCTGAGCTTTTTCAAGAAGACGGACAAACCCGAAGACTCCCTCTTCGTCGGTGGGAGTCTCGGTCTCGCCGCCACCGAAAACCAGGCCCAGGACGAGGAGGAGGACTTATACAGCGCCGACCCAAAGGACCGCTTCAACGAGAACCAATCCCCGGTGAAGAAACGAAAGGTTAGCTCCAATAATACGAACGATGTTCCCGGTGACGCAAAACCTCCTTCCAAGAATGGGAAGCCTCGGGTGCGAGGCCCCTTTGTCATGGACTCGGATAGCGAGGACGAAGTGGACGACGCACCGCCCGCTTCGCCGATCCATGCACCGGAAAAGACCCTGATCGAGCATCTGCAAGACCTGGATAAGCCCCCAAAGACGGAGATTCTAGTTCTCCATGATCATCACACTGCGGAACCTGTCGAAACGAATACCCCGCCACGCTTGAAACATGAGGAAACTTCTGTTGTGCAATCCGACGACTTTGGGGATATTGAACATGAGGATTACGGGGATTTAGATATGTTGGACGGATTTGAAGGGGAAGAATTACGTGAAATGCGATTCATGCGAGAGCAGGCCCGCCTGGAAGCCGAGGAAGGTGACGGGGGCTTCTCTGCAGCAGATTTTCACGATGATGTCACAGAAGATGGTTCAACCATCATGAATTGCCCCAGTTGTGGTGGAAATATGGCCGGCTTGTCCACAGATCTTGCCACACGGCATGTCAACTCATGCTTAGATGGGAACCCGACACCTTTACCTAAGCACGAAGAAGTCAAGCCTGTGTTGCCACAGGAGACCTCACCAACCCGGGATGTTGGAATGACCGACTACAGCAAACGCTTTAAACTAAACCGTGGCCCGAAACCACCACAAGAAAATCCCCTGGAGGACAGCCCATCTGCCAAAGGCCCCAGGTCGGCCTTTTCTAAACTCATGTCAAATAACGCCGAGGCTTCGGCATGGGCGACTGCGGCGGCGGCTGAGAAATCCTCCCGTGGGCGACCAGCCTATGAAAGAACTTGCCCTTTCTACAAGATCATGCCCGGCTTCTCAATCTGTGTTGATGCTTTTAGATACAACGCAATCGAAGGATGCAAAGCCTATTTTTTAAGTCATTTTCACAGCGACCACTATATCGGACTGACGGCGAGGTGGACTCATGGACCCATTTACTGCAGCAAAGTTACTGGAAGTTTGGTTAGGAAACAGCTTGGGACAGCCGACAAATGGGTCGTCGAGCTTGAATTTGAGAGGAAGTACGATATTCCTGGGACGGATGGTGCCACGGTGACGATGATCCCGGCGAACCACTGCCCAGGAAGTTCACTCTTTCTTTTTGAGAAGAAAATGGGCAACGGTTCTGCCGGCCATGTAAAGCGGATATTGCACTGCGGAGACTTTCGCGCCTGTCCAGACCATGTTGGGCATCCCTTGCTGAAACCAGAGGTCAAGGACCTGGTCTCGGGCAAAGTGAGGTTGCAGAAGATTGATATCTGCTATCTTGACACCACGTACCTCAACCCTAGGTATTCATTTCCTCCCCAGGAGGATGTTATCAAAGCTTGCGCAGACTTGTGTGGATCCATGTCTGCCGACCCAAACTCGCGGGACGACATTTGGGATAGGGCAAGTAAGGAGGATGGAGCGCAGGCTGTCAGCAAGTATTTCCAAAAGTCGCCGACCAGTAATGATGGTGCAAAGTCAAAGCCGGCTGAAGGTCCCCGTCACCGTCTCTTAGTGGTCTGCGGCACATATTCGATAGGAAAGGAACGGATATGTGTCGCGATCGCAAAGGCACTCAACTCCAAGATCTTTGCGTCACCAGCAAAGATCAAGATCTGCAAACAGCTAGGGATTCCTGAGCTCACTGAGCGTCTCACATCCAACCCGCTCGATGCACAGGTTCATATGCAGATGCTGATGGAAATCCGTGCCGAGACTCTACAGGAGTACCTGAACGGCTACAAACCTCACTTCAGCCGCATTGTGGGTTTCAGGCCAAGCGGCTGGAACTTTCGTCCCGGGCATGGCAATGGGAAAGCCATTGGGGCGAACACACCTCCCAGTACTATCCCCACAGAGCAGATTCTCCATAGCAAGGGTTGGCGGACCAGATTCAGCGCCAAGGACTTTACTGCTCAGAGAGGGAGTACGAAAGAGGCCATGTGTTTTGGTGTGCCGTACTCTGAACACTCTAGCTTCCGTGAGCTAGCCATGTTTATCATGTCCCTAAGGATCGAAAAGATTGTACCAACGGTCAACGTTGGGAGCGAGGGTTCTAGAGCCAGGATGAAGGCCTGGAACGATAGATGGATGGCGGAGAGGAGACGATGCGGCCTTGTCACACCTTTAATAGAAGGGCAGGACGATGACAAGAAAGCCGTTGAGCTCTGGGATGGGAAACCTGGAAAGGGCGGGGCCGCTTGGTGGTGATCAAGCATATAGCAGTCACAAAGAATAAAACTGGATACAAGGACACAGTGACACTGCTGTATGTGATGTGTTGCATGCTTTCTTTCTTTGCTTCGTCGCTTCGTATCGAGGCATTGTAGAATATAGGGGTAAGTCATATGTGAGCCGCGGCACCGTTATTATCACCCGCAAAGTCAGTTCCCTGCCCTGCTCCCATTCCCATTTCTGGTCCCAGTTCCTGCAGGCGGCTCCTAGACAGACTAGTAAATCCCCATGCCCAAACCAATAGCGCCGTGGACATATACGAATATCAAGTTTATTTTTTAATATTGGGCTATCTCACTCTGAAGCCACTCATTTCGCCTTGGCTGACTGAGAAGCTGCCTCTGTTGGTGAAGGAAAAAGTCAGCACTTGCCATGAGGGTTTGGCTCTGAACGAAGTGTCCAAGATCACGAATGGACGGGGAAGAAATGCGTACCTCTCCTTGTAGCATCCTCGAGCAATTGGGTGTCTACCGAACCCGCAGGCAGGTGCACGTATCGTACGACCGAGCCTCGAATGAAGACATTCTTGACAGAGCTCTGGGGAAAAAAGAACAGATTAGCTTCGGGGGCGGATTTGCCAAAGGGGGAATGCGGGTTTGGGAGGCTTTGATTTATACCATGTGGGGGTATTTGAGCTCCTCGACTACGGAGATGTCATCAAGCTTGATGTTGAGATACTGGTCGACGCTCTTGAGGGTGCCCCGCAGCTGGATGTCGTTCTTGAGCTCGACGGTGACCTCGTGGTCGATGAGGGTCTTGAAAAAGCTGGAGGAAGGTTAGCAAAGGAGGGAACAGGCAGGAAATCACCGACTGCTCATGTTGGTGAGGAGCTGGCTTTTTTTTCTAGGTTATTGGGGCCCTCGGTGGCATACCTGAAAAAGAGCATCTTTATCTGTGTTGGTGATGGATGGAATAAGGTTCCACCGGGATCAAAATAAGACAACTGATGCTACAACTGAAGCGCCTCGTGCAAATGAAGGGGGTACGGTATTTTCAGTACAGTGAAATTAGATCGGAATATCAGGTGATTCTTATTCCAACGAGTAGCTCGTGCGTCGTTTTTGATGAGGTAGATTCTCCCTGGTGAGTGAACATGATGTTTCCAGAACGTGAGTTAGGCGGTTGTGAGTCACGTGACTAGACTTGATGTCCACCATGAGCACCTCGATGGTATCATTGGGATTGCGACGAGAATATCTTGGAATTTTTTTTTACTTTGAGCATGAATTTCGATTTTAAATAATGACCTCTCTATAGATTAATTGGCTTATGCTACGTGAACAAATGTGCGCTTCTTGGCACTCCTCTCCTCATTCTCCTCTTCCCAGTTCTCATCTACATAGTCCTTAACACTCTGCTCCCGGATCTGCATGGACACGACCTTGAGTGCTGCCAAGTTGACACCCATCTCAGTCTTCTGTCTCCTCAAGGTGACCCTCAGGTTCGACCTGATGCTATCCAGCATCGCCTTCATCGTGCGGCTTGCTACGATCTGCTTGTGATGTGTCTTGAGCATGAAGAACAGGATGCGACATGTGAGCGGGATGTTCATGGAGCGTAGGGCGAAAATATTCAAAAATGTGAAGAGGATCGGGACGGAGGCGAAGGGAAGAACAAGAAGCGCGTCGTGGAGGGCAGAGGCTTTGATGCGCTGCAGGACATTCATGAGGTGCACCTCGGCCGAGATGTTCCCCAGCGCGAGGAAGACGGCGTTTCGCTGGGGTCGAGGAGCGTTAGGATCCACGAGCTTGGCTTCCTCGTATTCCTTCAAGAGGTTGAGATCCGCCATGCCCATGTCGAGAGCCTCAGCTATCCGCTCACCGGCCATAAGAGTCTCTGTGGTCTGCTTGCTGGCGGCACCAACTTCGCCGTTCTCGTCTGCAGCGTCTGGGTCCTTTTCCAGGGAGCCCGTGAGCGTGCTTTCGTACAGCTCCTCGATTTCCTTCTCGCGTTCTTCTTCGAGGAAGATTTGCTCCTCTGTTTCGTCCCAGACACGGATGCTCTTGTCGTGCGCGGCACTCACGAGGAAGTTGCCGCTATGGCTGATGGCAATGGACCATACTTCGCCGTGGTGGCCATCCAATCTTTGGATCTGCTCGAACTTGTCACCATCCCAGTATCTGATGGTGCGATCCTTGCTGCTACTGAAGAAGTGGTGGCCGTTGCCGTCGGAGTTGTGCGGGACAAAGGCCACCTGGAGGATACTGTCCTGGTGACCAAACAGAGCCTTGTGGCAATCGCCAAAATCTAGGCCCCATATTCTAATATTCTTATCGGCGGAACTTGTGACGATGAGCTTGCTATCGTACGAGATATCCATGCTCAGGACGGGGAGCTTATGTCCGTAGAGGTTGAGGTATAACTTCAAGGAGTCAACAAAGAAAACCTTGACTGTATTGTCGAGAAGGGCGACGGCAAGCATCTTTGCGTCAGGAGAGAACTTCAGGCTAAGAATGTCATCCGAAACCTTGAGCACTCTTGACTGAACAAGCTTTAACTTTGGCGTCGTCCTCTTGGTACCCAGGATCTCCTCTTGGACAATCTTGAAGTTCCAAAATTTGGCCGTCTTGTCAGCGCTGCCGGATACAACGGATCGTCCGTCAGGATGCAGGCTCAAAGACCAAACAGCGCCCTCGTGAGCCTCCACGGTATCTAGAACAGCTGCGGAGGCGATGTCGAAAAGCTGCAGCTCACCACTCTTGGTTCCTACTACAACCACTTTGTCACCTGGTAGGAAGGCACAGCTCAGTGCATATCCGCACTCAAATGTCCGGATGCAGTTTTCGGTCTTGACGTTCCAGATTTTCAGTGTTCCGTTTGATGCAGAAGCAAGCATCTTATCGTCTGAGCTCAAAGAGAGGGCTCGTATATCCGATCGGTGTCCAGGCAACTCAACGGAGAGTGTCCTGATGTAGTCAGGAATGTCACCCTTCTCTTTCCGGTCGCTCTTCTCCTTCGAGGGCACACTGTAGTATTCCAGTTGGTTGTTTGTTGTCGCAACCAAGAGATGCACATCCTTCTGTGGGCCGGATAATGCCCAGTCCGCCGACCTCACCTTGCCACCTGTGCGCACAGTAACGTACAGCACGAAGACGTCACTAACATCGGCCTGTGAGACATCTTCGGCCTTCTCGTCTCCATCATCTTCCGCCTCGCCTCCTTCCGCTTGGCCATCCTTCTTCTTCTCCCTGCGCCGTCTCCGCTTTCTCGCCAGGCTCTTTTTGATCTCGGCTTCAGAACGTATCCGCCAAATTTCAACAGCCTTTTCTGAGCCGTGAACGGCGAAGTAGTCCCGTCGAGGGTGGAATGAGATTTCTGTAGCCCGATCTTTGTTTTGGCGGTGCAGAGTACCCCGATCCTGCAAATAACGGGCATTCGAAAATTCGACCTGGCGCGCGCTGTTCGCCAAGCCATTGACGTCCAAGGACCAGACCTTCATCTCACCATCATTTCCGGCGGTAATACAACCGCTCAAATCCGGAGACAGTCCAAGTGCCCAGCACTCCCCATTGCTTTGGGAGATGTGCGTCTCTATGCAATGCCTTGATGATAAATCCCAGATCTTGAGCAATGAATCCTTGCCCGTCGTCAAAAGGAAGCCCTCCGAGGTCTGCTCACCGGGAGGCGTCGGTTGTGTTCCGTCATCTTCCTGTGCTTGAGCCTCGGGCTCGATGAAATAGAGACCCGTCACTTGATCTTTATGGCCGCGGAGCTTGAATTGGCCAACCTCTGCTACCAAGTCCCAGATAATGATGTCGCTGTCTTTTGATCCACTGGCAAGCCTTACACCTGACTTGTCGAACGCCAACTTGGTGACTGCTGTCTTATGCCCGTTGAAGTTGACAATGACAGTGGCAATCTTGCCATCCCAAAGGCGAATGCTGCCATCTTCGTACCCGACCGCAAAGACGTCTGGGTCTGCTTTGCTCTGGGCAATTGCCGTCGCTGGCGCAGTGCCTCGCTCGTCTTTCCACCGGTTCACAACCTCACCCTTCTTCAAATCCCAGCAGAGAATTTCTTCATTCGCGGCGACAACTGCCTGCCCTGCGCCAGTGCCATTGCGATCCTTGCCCGTCCAGAGGATGTTCGAGGTGCTCGAGGCAACTACACCAAAGGATTTGGCATGTTCGTACTTCCTGTTTAGGAAAAATACAAGTTAGAATCAGGAACCAACCACGTTTCTGCAATTGGGAACTTACAGGTATGACTTGACCATTTTCCCTGAGCTGTTGTCTAAGCTGGCGCACTTCTTACAGCCATGTACTTCAATCAAGATTGGCACAGAAGCGACAAACTTGACTGTGAGAGTGGGATTGTATTTTTTTCTTATCGATAACCTTCCGGCCCCACCAGCCGGCAGCTCTCATGGCGGTGCCTGTGGCGGTGCCTTAGACCGCTCGAAAGCTTGGGATGCAGTCACGTGTGTCACCGGCCAGCCAAGTGACGTCCTGGTCCATCAGTTCAAGGTGAGCTCTGAGCCGGTGCCTCGACAGGCCCCACTATCGTACAGTCGTCAGCGAGCTCCCAACGACAACGAAGCAGACAGCAGTTGGAGATAGCGACCAGCAATCAAGATGCTCCTTCTCGACTATCAGAACGTACTGATTCAATCGGTTCTCACCGAGAGATTCTCAGGGTAGGGATAGATACGCCTCCCACACTGGCACAAGCAAGTACCTGACATGAGCGCAGTGCCCCTCCCGTCCTCATTGACCAAACCGTTTCCGATTTCGACGGCGTCATCTTTCATATCTCGACCCCCGAAAGCAAGACCCAAATTCTGCTATCGATTCAAATTAGATGCTTCAAGGACCTCGTTCAGTATGGCGCCGAGCAGGTACTTCAGCGAGAGTACGGAGACTACGTGGCACCGATTGAGCCCGGCTACGATTTCTCGGTCCAAATCGACTTAGAGAACCTCCCCGAGAGCAAGGGTAAGAATTATTTATGCAACAACCGGTCCTCGGATGCGTTATCTGACATACTATTCACAGAGGAGCGAGAGGCTTTGGCTCTGAAGTTCGCCCTGCTGAAGCGAAACGCTATGGCAGCCCCGTTCGAGCAGGCATACCAAGAGTACTACGAATTGAAGGAGGAGGCTTCCAAGTTCACTTCAGAGGAGGCGCCTCAAGGTGTTCAAGAAGGTGGGGAGGTCAAGGCTATCCACTACCGCGAGGAGGAGGCCATCTATGTCAAGGCCAGCCATGACCGAGTGACTGTCATCTTCAGCACCGTTTTCCGGGAGGAGACAGACCGCATCTTTGGAAAGGTGTTTATCCAGGAATTTGTCGATGCCCGCAGGCGCGCGATCCAGAATGCTCCCCAGGTCCTGTTCAGGAACGACCCTCCTTTAGAGTTGGAAGGTGTCCCGGGGGTGCGAGCTACGGGATCCGAAAAGATCGGATATGTTACTTTTGGTGCGTTATGCTTCGTCGAGAAAGGGGGCTCTCGTTCGCTAACAACATCTCTTTAGTTCTCTTCCCCAGGCATTTGACCGTCCAGCGTATGCCCGAGGTCATCTCTCACATCCAGACCTTCCGAGACTACTTCCACTACCACATCAAGGCCTCCAAGGCTTATATTCACTCTAGGATGCGAAAGAGGACAGCCGACTTCCTTCAAGGTATGCCAAACTTCTCTCTGATCTGCTATGTTGCTAGAGCTGACAAGGAACAGTATTGCGTCGTGCCCGGCCTGAGAATGAGGAACGTGAAAGAAAGACAGCAAGCGGGCGTACATTCAAGGTGCAAGGAAGCTAAGGAACGATCAATGCACGGATACATAGGCAGGCCAAATCAATTACCTACAAAGACTAAGTAGCTCGTGGTGATTGGGGCCAAGGGCAGGGGATGGAATCAAAACGTTTTCGGCCAGGTCAAAACAGTTAGATTTGAACAGAAGCGAGTGCGGTAGATGAGATGAATTTAAATACAACATTATTCTCAATTGGCTATCAGTGTTGTGTTCTTGGTGCATAGAACAGATCACGGATGGCAAGCACAGTAGTGAGAATAACGTGACCCTAGTGGTTGGCTTCAATGAATGGCTGATATATATACAAGGTTGAATAGATAGAAATCCTACTAATTCGATATGCGTGAGTCCTTCCTTAGTTACATTAGTCAATTAAACGGAGTAACGAGTTGGCAATCTGGGGAATTGGGGGGTTGGGGATGCACCAATAATACTTTGTGGAAGCTGCACCCCACCACCAACGAAGAAGTTTTAGACCGAACATTTCCGACAGCAACGGCGGCTTAATCTCAGGTACAACAAGCGACCTCAAACTCGCCGCACAGCACAACGGCTCGACCTTCGGGTCAAAAGTACAATGGTATGGCCATTCGGCTCGTCAGGATCCGGGAAGGAAAAGAACAGCGACAATGACTCCAACGCAAAGAGCAAGCAGCCAGTGTCCTGGTCTGATTCGCTGAGCATATCAACTCCCGACCAATTCGCCGCAGCGAAAGAATGGGCGCCCATGGTCGTGTTCTCCCTAATTGGCCTCGGCGCATTACAGCTCTACTCGAACTACCTCCGTCGAATTCCAGGTGCCGCATTTGTACGGCCGTCCTTCTTCCGAACCAGGAGCCTCTACGGTCGAGTGACAAGTGTGGGAGATGGCGACAACTTCCACATGTTCCATACGCCGGGGGGCAAAGCCGTGGGCTGGGGCTGGTTGAGGCGAATACCCAACACGAGGAAAACTTTAAAGGATCGAACGGTAAGGGAGTCTTTCAGCTCTGCGTGGACCCTGTTGGGTGCCGGTCTGGCACCGACGTAACTAATGGAATGGAATATTCATAATCTACAGATCCCAATCCGCATCGCAGGCGTCGATGCACCCGAGGGTGCTCACTTTGGAAAGCCGGCCCAACCATTCGCTGCCGAGGCGCTCAAGTGGCTGTCAGACTACGTCCTACACCGCAATATTCGGGCATACGTCTACAAACGAGACCAGTATAACCGGATTGTGGCAACCGTCTACGTTCGGCGTTTTCTCATCCGGAGAAACGTGGGCTTGGAAATGGTAAAGCGCGGTCTGGCAACAACTTATGAAGCCAAATCGGGGGCCGAATATGGCGGGTTAAAAGAAGCTTATGAGAGAGCCGAGGCCAAGGCCAAGAAGCAGCGAAAGGGAATGTGGGCTGGAAACCAAAATGAGTTTGAGAGCCCACGACAGTATAAAGAGAAGTGGGGTAAGCATGAAAAACCAAGCGGATAGGGACTGTGATGATGATGATGACCGTCGTCATCCCAAGGTGCCCAGCTTGTGATAAGTCATTTATGCACTGGGTTTGCATTACAACTTCCTATAATGCGAACAGCAGAAGCTGTGCAGTAATGAAGTCTGCATTGTTGTGGTGTCTCTTCTACTTTAGAAATGGAGGTTTTGGCGGCTGCATGAGCCTCGTTCAATCTCAACTGCGTTGGCCGACTTCCCTCTGGTCCGTGCTTTGTGAGATGAGTTCTCAATTTTTTCCCCGGGCTTGGACTGGATTCGGCATTCGTCATGTCTTGGTATATGCAGGATTAATTGTTCTTTAGCAGATTCGTGCCTAATTAATCTGAGCTGTTTCAGATATTGTGTTGAGATCTTGAGGCAGATAAATAGCTATTTGCGACACCCAACCTCCTCGGCAGAGAGCTCAATGTTGGTGTCTAAGGGGTTGGTCATCTTGATTAACTTATTGTAGTGGAGGAGCAAGAACAAAGACACAAAGAAGTGACCAAATCTCTAGGGAGACGAGACCTCTTTGTCTGGCAGTGACACAATGGAGACCAAAGTTGAAAGCAAAGCAATTGTGAGATAGAGACCCACAAAGAGCTGCACTGACATTTGAATATCACAAGATATCAACTACCGGGTAGGATCGCTCGCATAACAATACATAAAGTTTGTTGTCAGTCATGCCGGTGAAGTTCTTCTGTCAAACGTTCTATACGAAATATTATGGGGCGGTGTGATGTGTTCCGTGGGATCCATGGATGGCCCCACATGGAGCGTCAGTGAAGGAAACTGCATCGGAGTAAGTACCCAGTACTTGCCTCTCCGGCAACCACCTCAACACACAGGGAAGGTATCAGGCTATAGTAGCAGCCAGCAGCACGGCTGGCTTTTGCAGGCTACTTGCCCAGTATCAGGTAAGTGGGTAGTGGCGCTGAGTGGCAATACTTTTTGCTGGAGCATGGGTCGGCCAGCGAGCATGAATCGCATGGGATGCTAGCACTATCGCCTACCCCGGCTGTCTTGCCAGCAAAAGCCAGGTACCTTCTTCAGCACGAAACTCACCCGCCCCCCCTCGAATGATACCTGGTCGCTACTTGGGTACCTACATAGTAAAAACTTACACTTTCGGGGGCTCCCAGCTCGGTGGCGTCTAGGTTGACCTAAAATCCTCCCGCCCATTGTGTGGTGTGATGTGACCCAACCTCCTGGAAGTAAGGGACAATGAGTCGGGCGGTGGTGCAAGAAAGCGAAGGTTCCGGGGTGCATTGTGCTGTGCAGCGAACAATTCAAACAATTCTCCAATGAAAATGGAGTCACCGCACAAATTCAGACAGGGCATCGTATGCTTGGATCCGCTGGGTACGAGCGGGCAGCCTCTAGCATTGCGCATTGTCCATTGCATGGGCTGGTGTAATTTCTTCTCTGGACCTGGCCGCCGTTACATGGGAGATCGGATTGGCTGAAGGAGGCTAGCGTCGAGGCTGAGGGAGGCAGGTACCCGGTACTTGCCCTCGTCGCTTGTGAGCAGCAACATCCAGCTAATTTCCCTCTCTGCTAGGTCCTGGCGGTTCGCCCAGGAAAGTGCAACTTCAAACTCCAACTCCTTTCAGTGAAAGCAGTTCCTCGTTCTTGTGGACTGTCTCTCGACAATATCGGCTGCAGCTTGGCGACGGTCCCTCGACTAATCCAAGGCCACCGAGGCCATATGCGAAAATCATCGTACCCTTGATATTCTATATTCTTACACTCATTTCTCTGCACTTTTCTCGCCTTGTTGTACAAGGTCGCCCTGGCGTTCGCGTCACACCCACTCGTTCAGATTCCACACCTACGCCCCTCCCTCTCTTCAACGTCACCACGAATTCCTCCCGGTTGCTATGGCCAACGCCTGAATCTGAAATGCTCATAGATATTCGATCATTACTTGACGCTATTTTCTTATTCACACTGACCCAGCCACTCTCATAAACTTGCCCGCCGCAACCACCTCGATCTTCCACGACTCAACGCGGTAGCAATGCGACTGCCCTGGGGCCACTGCCGCACGGCAGCCCGGCCTCGACGGCCAAATTCCTTGGGCCTTTTATCGATTTTCCTATTCTCATCCCCCTTCTCAACCGCATTCAAATTCGAAGAGGCACCGTCGGCCAATCTTGATATATCCGGGCTGGGAAGGGTAGCTCTTGCTGGAGACTTTAGCGGGATCTCACTATACGAGTACAAAGAGCAGACTGGGAGACCGTCCGGCACCAATGGAAGCGAATCTCTTGTCGCGGTTCTCCCCAATGGCGCCCTCGCCACCCTGGTATCCACCGATGCAACTATCCGAGCCATGTGTACATTTCAGCTCAAGAATGGTGAAATGCAAGGAATCATAATTGGCGGTAATTTTACGAGCTTGGACGGTACGCAATCGACGGCGATCGCACTCTACAATCCAGACACAGGCAATGTTACTCCTCTGGACGGCTTGAAAGGTGAAGTAAACGCCGTCTATTGCGACAAAGACAGGGACACTGTATATGTTGGGGGTAATCTTAAGGGCGCCGACTCTACGAATGCAATCGCCTGGTACGGATCTGAAGGGTGGACGAATCTCCCATTTGCTGGATTCAATGGCCCAGTCGAATCGATCACCAAAGCTGCCAGTGGCCATATTATTTTTGGAGGAAGTTTTACTGGCTTAGGAAATTCCAGCTCTCCAACCGAGCCTGACGGGCAGGTTGTAAACATTGCAACTGCCGCGATCACGTCACAAAATACAGCCTCCGGAAGTAATCACTCGAGCATTCTTTGCCCTAGCAGCAATTCTTCGGATACAGCTGGTTGGCTCTTGCAGGACAGCACCGCAGGTGTTTGGGACGCACAGCTCGGCTTTGGTTTCGAACCGACCAAGCTTAGACTATGGAACACCCATAAGAATGGCCGTGGTACTAAGACATTCCGATTCACGGCTTTCCCATTGAACGGCATCATGAACTTTACCTACGTGGACCCAGCCAGCAAAGAGAACAAGACCTGCACCAGCGAATGCCAACTGAGCGATAATTCCGACATAGAGTATCAGGATTTCCATTTCGTCAACCGAGTTGGCATGAACAGATTCTCGATTTCGATCTCTGACTGGTATGGCTCCGGCGGTGGCCTCAATGGGATTGAGATCTTCCAAGATAACATCTTCTCCTATGCTATCAACGACTTTAACGACCCTTCGTGCGGTTCTATTGACTTCCCATCCAAAGCAACAGTGACTGGGCCCTGGACCGAATCCCCCTCTTTGGAGAGCAACTCCAAGTATCTCACGAGCACACTAACTAGCAATTCCAGTGCCGAGAATCTCGCAGTCAAGTTTCTCCCAAATATCAGAGAATCTGGCAACTACTCGGTTGATATGTATACGCCAGGATGCCAGCCGGATGGGACTTGCTTGTCGAGAGGCCGTGTCAACGTGACGGGTTACATGAAGGCTGGTTCTGATGAGCCGGATTTCAGCATCACACTCTACCAAACGAACAACTTCGACAAGTA